ACTACCCCTTCCCACCCACCGAGAGTCCTGCTCATCCTCAGTACTTGCTAGATCCAATAAAAGGGGACATTGCAGTACCTACAAGCACCTCCCCCTAGACCCTCAGAACCCGTCCAAAATGCCCACCTGCGCCTGAAGCCTAGCTGTTGCTGAGTCTACCGCTACTGTCGTACATGAACTCCTTGGGGTTACACTTGACGAGGATTGACTGGGACTCTGGAGAGCGCCGATGCTAACTCCACCATACACTACTTCTACCTCTCTGGACGAGCTCTCTGTATGCCCTACTATCTCAGCCACGACATCGCCATTCCCTATCAGAGAACACCCAACGTTTTTACCCGGGTTAAATCGTTCACAAACACAGAATCTCACCTTGTTCCGGGTAGATATAAGCCTGGAACTCTTCACCCTGCTGCTGCTGCTGCTGTTTCTCATCGTTCGGCACCACCCCTCCCCGATCGAGTCGATGCAACTAAAATCATTGTGGAAAACTACGCACATAGTCAACTACATGTGTTGGTGACAATATAAGAATGCTGAGGAAATTTTCGAAAGGTTTGAGTTCGTTTCTGTACACTTCTACCCGAATTCTTCGGGGAAACTTTCGAGCTCAGCTGAGGAAAGCGAACATATATTCCTACTCCAACACTGTGAAGGAAACTCCTGAGCTCAGCTGAGAAAAGCGAACATATATTCCCACTCCAACACTGTATAGGAAACCCCTGAGCTCAGCTGAGGGAAGCGAACATATATTCCTACTCCAACACTGTATAGGAAACTCCTGAGCTCAGCTGAGGAAAACGAACGTATATTCCTACTCCAACACTGTATAGGAAACTCCTGAGCTCAGGTGAGGAAAGCGAACATATATTCCTACTCCAACAACACTGACTAGAACCTTCTCCCAGTATACCCAACTCACTGGTAGATCCGGATGGGGTAGTAAGGACGCCCTACTAGTAGAACCCATAGCCCTACTGCACCTAGTCATACGCGGCGGCACTTGCACTCCTTCACCACAATGGGGAACTGCCAGACCATCGGTAACGCTATCGTTAGCACAACAGATGCCCACCTTCCCCCTCTGTTCTTGTAGCGAGTAGTGGATTCCCCTCGACTGTCCCAGGAGGGGGCAGGCAGCAGCCCTCATCGCCTTCCTCTGAATCTCGCGCGATACTCCAGTCGTTTTCGCTCGTCCCTATACCGAAAATGCACATCATGAAACACTTCGCTCCGCTGTGCTCGAGACACAATGTCTAGTGACTTCACCAACTGATGGAGTTTCACGGTCGTGATATGAAAAACACTAGTGAGAAATATATTCCACGACTACTGCATATCACCGCGAATATCGCTTCACAGAGTATTACGCCACTCCACGTGGAACGGGTGAAACTCCAATGAAGACAACAAGAACATTCTATTAAACGAAACCATACATTCGATTTGACTGATTTTTTCACCAAAAATTCGTAGAAAAATTTGATTACATACCATTTGGAAGAGTGTAGTTCATGTACCCTACAGAGATATTAAAATACTCTCATACCCGCCCTTTATCGTGTATTGGCCGCGAACGGAAAAATGCCCTCGCCGGGGATCGAACCCGCGACCGTCTCAAACACCCCGAGCACTAGTGAACATGAGAATCCAAAGCCCTGCAGTTCCCCCTACCTCTCGATGTAACAGACGTCCCCCCTTGCTGAGCGCTCCCATGAGGGTCTTCACACGTGAGAGCGTCCATGCATGTGGAAGAGCACGATCTAAGTCCGTACCAGTCTTCAAACACAGCAACCTGACACAGCCTCTTCTTACGAACGACGTATTTTCCCACTCATTATAATGCACATCGCGAAACACTTCGCTCCGCTGCACTCGAGACTAGACAATTCCAGCGTCAAATCAAAAACTTAGCTTGGCTCCTTGCTGTGACTACCGACGTCTATGAGAATAGGGAACAGCTTTAACAACATGTTTTTGAACTACATGTTCATTCGAAACTATCGCAGGGGAACCCACTTTGACCCACTGTGGATATTCTTAATGATGATGGGTCATCACAATTCATCAGATGATATCATCGATGATTTGATCATCGATATCATCGATGATTTGACCCTATCATCAGATGATAGGGTCAACACAATATCGTGCAACGCCGCCGATCAGCCAAATTTTCGATGCAATCAATGCTACGCTCCGCTAGGCTTCGCTCCGCTAATCCTAACATCACGTGCACTGTTGAGCCACTACGAATTTACAAGATAAAACTCGAACGTTACAAAATATTTTTCAACTTGTCCCAAAATTGCGGAGCGAGCGGAGCGTATACCGCAACAACATGCACTTTCGCGTTGCGCGTGCGTGCAGAATTATTCTGGCTTAACTACGAAGCGTGGGAGGCTATCAGATAGATCAAACGACTCCTCTATATGCGGAGGTGTTGAGAAAAATCGGAAAACTCGATTATACGAACAGCTCGAAGAGATATGTACGAAAAACTTTAATAACGGAGAAATGTCCTACCCGGGGATCGAACCGGGGACCTAGGTCAAATTCATTGATCGAATCAATAGACGTGGACTAAGTGAGCTATGCCCCTTCGTCACGAAGGCCTATCAGCACAGAATTATGAAAAATACAGAAAAAAATACACAAAAATACACAAAAAAATACACAAAAAATACACAAAAAACAGAAAAATACAGAAAAAAGAGGGAAAAAGAGGAAAAACATAAATCCCCTGACAAAATTTCCCCCTCACTTTTCCAGCCAAAAGGGATTGTCGCACAGTAGCTCTTATAAGGGACAGCTCAAAGCGACTGACTTGGTCAATTTTCGTTAACAATGGCACCTGGAGGAACTTCCATCATGCAAGTCGCAATGCTAACTGATCATTTGGTTGGATAGTGTTCTGTACGAAGATATGCATATGGTCAACTACATGTGTGGGTGAAAATATGAAAATTTTGGGAAAATTCTTATTGATTTCTGGAGAAATTCTTGTATAATTAGTTTTGGAAACTCCTGAGCTCAGCTGAGGAAAGCGAACATATATTTCTACTCCAACACTGTATAGGAAACCCCCGAGCTCAGCTGAGGCAAGCGAACATATATTCCTACTCCAACACTGTATAGGAAACTCCTGAGCTCAGCTGAGGAAAGCGAACATATATTTCTACTCCAACACTGTATAGGAAACCCCCGAGCTCAGCTGAGGCAAGCGAACATATATTCCTACTCCAACACTGTATAGGAAACTCCTGAGCTCAGCTGAGGAAAGCGAACATATATTCCTACTCCAGCACTGTCACTGGGATCTCCACGAACTCACCAAGTTCGTCAGTTTTCCAATGCCCTGCATTACAGCAAGAGGGAGATCAATGCCGCCAACAGGAGCTGCTCTCACAAGAAAGAGGCAAACCTAAAGCCACTACAGTGCGTGCCAATTTGATGTGTGTTATTGAGCATCTCTCATGCATCGCTCCGCTGCGATTCGGAAAATATTTTTCCGTTATTCATGTGTGTTATTTTTTCCGAGATTAAACTATATCGCATATACAATGTAACAATGGCTATGAACATATGTTGTGATGAAAGTACCCGTTTGGGACTGTGATGATAGCGACAACTTGTTCACTATAATTTGTCCTACAAAATAACACACATTTGCATCGATCAAATTCACTTACATGAATTCGATCATCCGTTACAGACCGAGGCCGATCCCATACCCCAACAGAAGGGGGCTTCTGGTGACACCGAGAACTGAGCCGAGCTCTTTTACGCCGGTCGCGATAAGCGAGCATTTCCATCTCCAAATTTCGCACGAGTTGCGGTGACACGTCGGATGATTCCGTCTAAAGAGCAATACTCACATGGTCAGCTACATGTGTTGGTGACAATATGAAAATTCTAAGGAATTTTTTAGAGAATTCTAGCTGGTTTTTCTATACTTCTACCCCAAATACCATGAAAATTTTCATAATTTTCCGAGGAAATCAAAATTCCCAAAAAAAACAAACTCACAATGGTGACTTGAAAACTGAACGCAGCTGGCTTGTCGGTAACCTGGTAGATCTTCTGAGACCCTAAAAGGCTCTGTCGGCCTCCAACTTCAACCCACTGAAAAAACAGCGATTCAATCTTCATATTTATATAATAGTTTATTGGAGTTTCACCCGTGATATGAAAAACATATATCACGTTTTACTTGGCGAAAAACGCATGCGAGCAGTGAATAACGCGTAAAACACGTGATGTGTTTTACGTGATATGGGGTGATTTGTTCGATGCAATTCACATGAGTGTTTTCAATTCACTTCATATCGCCTTTTTTACATGGAGTATTACACAACTTCACGTAAAACGGGTGAAACCCAATTGTAATGAAAACACAGATGTACCAAATGAATATTAATACAGTGTGTTTCAATTTGATCGATGCAAATGTGTGTTATTCTCCAAGATTGAACTATATCGCATAAACAATGTTAACATTGTTATGAACATGTGATGTGATAAAAGTAACCTTTCGAGACTGTGATAGCGACAAGTTGTTCACTATCATTAATCTCGGAATAGAAAACGCACATTTTCCACATTTGCATATCAAATTGGCACGCACTGCTGACCCCAGTGAACGTCTTCCCCTCACACATATCCCCAAAAATTTTCATTTTTTCCCTAAAAACAGTCCCAAAAATTGTTGCCATTATGAATATACCAATAACATGTAGCGCTCGCCCTAAATTATTTCGCTCGCCCGAGACTGAAAATCACGAACAATCATTGGACCCTAACTTTCTCAGTTGTGCTCAGCGTCACCGATGGACAACATGGTGAAGATTCTCGTGCGTTTTTCGGCGGCTTATTGACAATTTTAAAGTGCCCTTTCTTACCCTAGACGAATTTCATAATGGTTTGACGGAAAATCAAGATTTGAAGCAAAGAGGAGAAGTTTCCCACACGAGCGCATACTCCCGAAATCTTCAGTGAAGGTCCAAGCTTGCATGGGGCAAATTCAAGCGAGCGTAACAAGTATCGCTCGTGCGTGCGTGGCGCACGCCATTGTGATAGACCCGAACCAGAAAGTGGTGCAACCGGTCGAGACTGAAGTGACAGCAATCTGGCTGTCCAGGAGCCTCTCGAGCCGGTTCCACCCTGGAATTTTTCTTTTACCTTCACTAGTTGTTTGGGGGGACATTGCCTATGTGCCTGCGTGCTAGGCAATGTGACTGTGGTGTTAAGCCAATGCACGGCGTGTTGTGAGGTTCGGTATTATCACCGCCCTCTGCTGCCTAGTTGGCTAACAATCAGTCTCACCCAACACTCCCAAGTAACTAATACGATGCGGTGAAGCGTGCCTTGATTTCCCCCCAAAAACAGTCCCGAAAATCGTTACCGTTATTAATATAAAAATAATGTCAAATAAACCCATACCACAACTCACAGATCTCATCATATTTTCTCTCAGAGTTGTTTTTCCAACGCCAGACTTCCCCACTGAATAACAACGGTGGTGACACGCATATCACCGGTGTCACCCACCTAGTAGTATATTCAACCGACATCCGCTCGCTCTAAATCGCCACTTATTTTGCTTTTCCAGTTTCTGCAGCACCGAAGCCGCTGCGGCATCACTAGAAGCGTCATCAGCTAGTCTCAAATCCCGAGATATTATCGTACCTACGATGATTAATTTTGTGGCGCACGAAATGTCAATTACGTCGTCAGTTTTCACCACTAATAGCACTCAGGCAGCTCAGTAGAAAGTGTACGCGTATTGACAACGAGGAGTGAAAAAATGGGCACACAGGCGTTGGTAGATGGACAGAGCCTTCTTTGATGGAATTTTCAAACAGGAAGCAGAGGGTGAAGAATCAATACGACCAGAGACGAACCACAGGAAAAAAAGAAAAAATAGAAAAAAAACGAAAAAAAACGAAAAAAGAAGAAAAAATGAAAAAAAAGAAGAAAAGAAGGAAAAAAAGAGAAAAAAAAACTAAAATTGGCACGCACCATAAAATCCGATTGAGAGAATCAACGATTAATCCTCAACTTACTTAGGGAACTCAAATCATCATATGTGCTCTGATGCGACGGCGCTCGCCCCACTTGTTCTCCTGGCGGGTCCGCCTCCAACACCGGCGATGTATTCTCTACCACACCCGGGTGAACGTCCCCCGGATGGAAACTAGGCGATGCCTTCTCCGATGATACAATGTGCACCTCTGATGACCTATAGCAGAGAATTATGTCGCGCGCCACGAGATTATTCACCACTCACTTTTCCTCTTCCTCGTTTTCAGCATCTACCCCAATCGCAGGAACATCCTCCTCTCGAGTGATCCCGAAGAAATATGAAAACATCTCAACTA